AGAGACCAGTTGTTGCTGTGTTTTCTGCATTCTTGCTCACTCTAGGAACCCTGATGAGTGTTCACTACTTCACCTTTGATTTGTTCTTAAAGCAAATTTAGAATATTATGGCTGTCATACATTCAAACTGCTAGGATAACCTAGGTCTACAGTTCAAATTAAACATTAGCTCATGTGGTCCCTGGGTTTAAAACTAACGTACCCAGAAGAAACTGACAAAGTGACAGTTATGTTGAAATATTTTAAGTGCAAACAGGAGTAGTCCTGTGTGCTGGCAATGGCAAGGCCGTGTTGTCTAAAGTCCCTGTTTGATTCCTCATTTGTCTGCCCCTTCCCAGTGGCCTTTTCCTCTTTGAATTCTCAGAAGTCTTTTGCCTAAGTGCTTCAGCTCACTCACTGTTAAATCAATGAGGATTTGAGGGGGTTTGGGACTTTCAAAAACAAACCTGTCCCTGATCCTCCCCCATTGGTGTGCAACTACTTAAATGCCTCTGATCAAATACATATATGTAAAGTCCTTTTATTCCAGAAGCAATCACATCAATACAGTTTTAATGCCCTGGAGATCTATCAGATCTATTTGTATGCAGAGACACGAAGAGAGAAGTAAGGTGAGGATGAGTGAAGACTCCCCACCCAGGAAATGGGCTCCTCTAATTTTCTCGCATAATTATTCAGGCACTTTCACTTTTCCATACATAGGAGTCACCCAGGAGCTTCGAGCAGCTGGAGGGAGTGACACATCTGTTCTGTCCACTCCCTCCCTCCTCACCCATCCTCCACCTTACTCTCACATTGTCAAAAAAAGCAAGGTACAAAATTATATACACAGACACACAGTATACCCGCACATACACACTATCATCTAGTTGGTGCAAGAGTTAGAGCACCAAGATTTGTGCTAGAAAAAAAATTTTTAAATGATGCTTGTATGATAAGCGCAGAGGAAGTTTGGTCACCAGGAATGTTAGGGCTATTGCCTTCTAACTTATTTTTATTTTTATTTTTTTAGTCTTTCTATTTCCTTTCCTTTTTTCTTTTACTTTTCTTCCTCCCTCCCGCCCTTCTTTTTCTTCTTATACTAACAAAGCAAAAGCAAATAGTGCTTCCTATCTTTTGCTTTCCCGCAGTCCAACCTTTGATGCATGGGGTTTGGGTGATTACATTTTATTGCATTTTGGTGGGAACGGTTTCTGCACCCTTTTTTTCCTCTGTGATCTCAATTCTCTGTTATTCTGTGGGTCCCAGGATGCTGCTGGAACTTAAGTGTGAGAGAGAACAAGGTGAGCGGTGCTGGCATTTAGGATAAGAACTAGCTGAAAATAGAATCCTGTTTACTGCTTTGCCTGGTCAAAGCACAAACAACAAAGGAACAACACAAAAACAATAACATGATGTTTATTAAGTAGATGTTTAATTTAGCATCTGGAGACTTTGGGAAACTGTACTCTGCTAATTTCTCTGTGATGAGTCTGTCTCTCAAAAATCTTTTTGAAAAAATAAAAAACACACACACAAAGATCATTGTTTTGTATAACGTGCCCAGATACTTTTTAAACATCTTGCTTGTTGAAATGCCTGCCAGCCTTTTAGAGGAGTTGACAGTTGAGCTGATTGCTGTTAGCAGAAACAAGTGGACTCAAAAGCTTTTCCTCTGAAATGAATCTATCGTGTAACTCACAGCTGGCTCAGAACACAGGTGTGTGCTCCCGCTCTGCCCTGAGAAGGTGGGAGGGGAAGAATCCAATCCAGATAAGACGTGGGGGTTGTGGGGGACCACCCAACAGCATAGCCACACAGTCTTGTAATCTTAGCTTAAACTCTATCTCTGGGAAAGAGTTTCTCCCTGACTGCTTGTATCTCTGAGTAACCACAGACCCCCTACTCTCCAAAGTGGGTTGTTACTCCTGGAGCAGTTCAGAGATTAGCTGGACAGCTGAAAGCAAGACCCAAAGGAGCTTCAGCTCTGCACAATCTACGTAGCCTTCTTTACCTTGCATTGACTGGATGCTTAGGGTTCGAGAAACCAGAGCTAAGAACTGAAATTCCTCAAGGTAAAAAGACTCCCCTCCCAGGAAATGGACTCCTCCAATTTTCTCACATGATTATTCAGGCACTTTCACTTTTCCATATATAGGAGTCACCCAGGAGCAAGCTCTGACCAGCTGGAGGGAGTGACACATCTGTTCTGTCCACTCCCTCCCTCCTCACCCATCCTCACCTTACTCTCACGTGCACACAGACACTTAGGGAGAAGTGATCCCGGTGGCTCTGCCAAAGACAAGCCTGCTGGGCTAGAGGAAAAAACTCAAGCAAAGTTGCAGCATTAACGTTGTTACCTGGAAGAAGCTTGAGTGGAGAAGCGTGGGAAGATGAACGGACCGGTGGACGGCCTGTGCGACCATTCTCTAAGTGAGGAGGGAGTCTTCATGTTCACGTCAGAGTCTGTGGGAGAGGGACACCCAGGTAAGTAGGTTGTCCTGGGCTGTCTGGCAAATCTGTCCTTCCCAGTCTATACTGAGGGAGTCACTTTTTAAAACATTTTTAACCAACACATAAAGATAATTGTACATACTCCTGGGGTACAGTGTGATGTTCTGATACGTGTATGCGATGGGCAGTGATCGAATCCAGATAATTAGCATATCAGCACTTCAGACATTTATCAATTCTTTGTGGTGAGAACACTCAAAACTTCTAGCCCTTTTGAAATATATGATGTATTGTCAATAACGGCAGTCACTCTACTGTACAGTGGAACACTAGTACTAATTCCTCCCATCTAACTCTAACTTTGTATCCAAGGGAGTCATTTTTTCCTAGAAGTTTTAAGAGCAATGTTTGTTCATTACTATACTATTAGATATCTCTAGAGAAACAGTGTGAAGTAATTTTATAGAACAGTCTCTCATCATGCCCACCATCAGCAGAGAATGGTATATATAAAAAGTATCATCAGATCTTAACTTGATATGTAGACATATAGACTTTTTTTTGAGTAAAGCATCATCATTAGTGATCGACTTAGATCAACAGAGAATATTCCTCAAACAAGGCCAAGGGGTCACTGAGTTTGATATATACAGAGTAGAAATGAAGGCCCTGCTAGCGCCGGTGGCTCAAACCTATAATTCTAACACTCTGGGAGACCGAGATGAGTGGATCGCCTGAGTTCAGGAGTTCAAGACCAGCCTGAGCAAGAGCAAGACCCTACCTCTATGGGTGCCCATGGTGGTGGGCACCTGTAGTCCCAGCTACTCAGAAGGGTGAGGCAAGAGGATCTCTTGAGCTCAAGAGTTTCAGGTTGCTGTGAGCTATGATGACTTCATAGCACTCTACTTAGGGTGACAGAGTAAGACTCTGTCTCAAAAAAAAAAGAGAGAGAAAGAAAAAAGAAAGAAATGAAGATCCAGCACCATTGTAGGTGCTAAGATAGATCTGTAGGTGCTAGGGTTCTCAGGTATGTTATCTAAGAGGTGTATATAGAGATGACTCTCTGAAGAGGATGAAAATCCAGGCATTGAAGTAGGTAGACTTTGGTATGGAAAGTAAGTCAGGCTTCCTTGTTGACAGTGAGGGCTAGAGCCACATTCAGAGCCTCAGCTGCATCAGCGTCACCCAGAGAGCTTGCTGAAATACAGAATGCTGGACCTCAGCCCCAGAGCTTCTGATTAAGTAGGGCTTGGGAGAGGCTCAAGAATTTTAATTTTTCATAAGTTCCCAGAGACGCTGGTGCTGCAGGCATGGAAACCACATTTTGAAAACACTTGAAGAACCCTGGGGGATAGATATATAGATTTACGTTTAACATTTAAATTTTTCTTCAAAATTCATGTATTTGAAGTGCTTAATGACTTATCAAGTCTACTTTTCCCATCTTCCTTGTTTTTGATCTTTCTTAAAGATATTTAACTTTCCTGCCTGTCGCTTGGCTTTGGACACCTCAGTGCAGAACTCCACATGATTCAGCCAGTGGTCTGCAGCTGTTTTACTGCTCTTGCTCCGAGAGTATTTTGTGATATCTGGAGACATTTTTAGTTGTCACAGCTATGGAGGATGGGGAAGGTGCTGCTAGCATCTGGTGGCTGGGCACACTGCTAAACAGCCTCCAACGCCCAAGACAGTCCACAACAAAGAATTATCTGGCCCCAAATGTCAATAGTATAGCTGTTGAAAAATCTTGAATTAAATTCAGTTTTGTATGTGACAGTTCTATTCAATATAAAGAGCCTCTTTTGTTGTGTATAACTTTATAGATAAATTTTCTAGCTTTACCGTATTTGTAATCTCAGATACATTGCTGGTTAGCTCTATGACTTAGGAAGTCATGTATAGATCAGGAGAAAGACTTGCTCCACCTGGTGGAAGTGGGTTCTCTGGCATACAGTTGCCTGCCAGGAATGGCCCATTGTACACAGTAGCCATGTGCTCAGCTGTCTGAGCAAGTGATCATTTTGTCTACTTAGTGAAAACCCATCTACTGGACGGATCCCCCCTTCACTTGCCACTGTAAATGAACTGTCCAGCTAAGTCAGTTTCCTCTAAGGCTCATGGATTTTCTGCTTATCTTCCCATTGAATTCCTTTCCTCTAGAATGATGAAGTTAGTGGTATTTTTTTAAACTTCCAAGAAAACCAACTATCATCTCTCTTAAGCCTATGGTGTTGTATTGATGAAAACTTTGAAAGACTTAAAAAAAACAGTTCAGAAAGGAGCCCCGCAGGCATTGTCTCAGTTTGTGGTGCTATCTCGATGTCCTTTCTGGACTCTGGCTTTAACCCTAGTCACTGTTGCATTTCGCCATCCAGAGTGGGGGCAGAATCTGTCCTTAAACAAGCAGAGACACCCACGATCAGTATGCGAATAAGCTTCTGGAAATCCTGATGGGTCCAGCATGTATTTATTTTAGGATGTTTTAGCAGCAGAAGCCTTCATTGGTAGGGGTTTTCAGAGGCTGTGGGCTCAGTAAACCTAGAAATATCATCAGGATCTGTCCCTGGCAGGAGGACAGATAAAAAGCTCAAACATGTGTTTACTAGGAGTTTCTGAATGAAAGATTAGAAAGTTCACCTTTAATGGCAAGCTAACGAATATCTTTAGTTACAGAACTTAACACCTGCTTTTGAGATCCAAACGGCTTGATTATGAATCTGGCTTATTAACTTAAAAACATATTAATCTTGATAGAGAAGACTGAGTATTTTGAACACTAGGTGAGATGAAATATATAGAGAGGTCACTTTTATTTCTTAGTTGGTGAGCATTGATGGTTTATATAACACCACAGTGAGAGTGGATTTTCCTACACTGCCATATACCAGGCCATGTAGGGTCTTTAAGGCAAATAATTGAAGAAAAAGATCAAATCCCAGCTCATGCCGAGCCCTTGTCAGTCACACCTTGACTAGATGTTGGTACATCTGGTTTTCAGGTGGTTGAGTGATGTGGATGTTGGAGGGGAGAATCCAAGGTGCTACTTAATGAAATGTTTTGCAAAGCAGCAGTGATGTGCAGGGGTTCCCCCATCCTGGACTTGGGTGTGGTGTATTATATGTGCACCTCATAGAACCTGCAGTGTGATGAAACTGCTTTTTCCAGCCAGCTGATGTTACATCTTGGCACCTACTCTTAATGATGTTATTAGTTTTTAAAATTTCTATTTCTAGGACTTTTCTAAATGTCTGGATTAAAGGAAATGTGATGAGGCATGGGAAACGTTTTAGAAGAATGGGTATGTGCAATTGTGTGTTTGCTAATTGCTTTAGACTCTTAGAAGAGCTGGTTTTGAAAGGTGCATCTTTTGTTTTAGGGAATTCTATGACTTTATATAATACACATCATCAAAAATTAGGCAGGAGTGGGAAGAAATAAAAGTTTGTTGTACCTAATATTTGTGTGATTCTCACCTATGTTTGTTCTTGTCCAGATAAGATCTGTGACCAGATCAGTGACGCAGTGCTGGATGCCCATCTCAAGCAAGACCCCAATGCCAAGGTGGCCTGTGGTAAGAAACACCTGATCCTTTCCTGCTGGAGACCTACATGGGCTGGGCTGAGAAGTTAATAGTAGGCATGACACTATAGAGCTGTGCCCTTTGGTCTACTGTAGGTTTCTTGATTATGTGACCTCTCCTATATAGTAATAGGGGGAGGAAACCATTTCTAAGCACAAAACAAATTGGTAATTGATTTTGATAAGACTTTGGCATTAGATGTCTTAGTAACTGTAAACAACAGAGGGTTGGATCACCACATGTCTTCTCTGATGCTTCTTAATCTCACTGGGAGCCAGAGGTCCTTTCAGAGTTCTCAGTTGACTCTTCCAGATGGGCTAGAAGAGCTTGATGCAAGGGTAGCTACCTAGGCAGTCATGTGCTGTACAGATAGATGGCTGCACAGATATCTGGCCTCTTCCCTTGAATTCTTTCCTAGTTTGTGGAATGGTTCAGGTTTTAAAATAACTTATGCCTCCTATTTAATAGCACCTGGAAGGCAGCATCTTCACCAATTGTTTTTAAATAAACCAATAGCTTTCCTAAGGGACATTACTGTTGAACAAAAGAATGGAAGCCTTCTCTTTCATATCTGCATCATTCATTGTTTCCTGGAGACCTTCACGCAGGCTAAAGATCTTCATCTCTATTTGCAGGATAAGGGCTTTGACAGCAAAACCTTGGAGGAACCTGGGGGTGGTCAGGTCCAGCCTATTCACTTTACAGACAGGATCACTGTGCCCCCTACATCAGAGCCTGACCCAGGTTGTCCCAGTGCAGAGACCAGCACCCTGCTCTCCTCACTGTTAGTTCCATGTCCTGTCCACTGCACAGACTCACCCTTCCTTCTCTGGTGGCATTCTACCCCCCTGTGCCCAATACTACAGGGGCCCATGCCCCTCTGAGGGTTGACATTACCCTGACATCTTCTCTTTATAAATATCTGCAGAGAAGTTGGGCCTATCTTGAGCCTTCAGTCAGGATCTCACTCCCTGAAGCCTGCAGGGCAATTTTGGCTCTGTGTGTGGGGGTGGTGGTGGTGGTGGTGGTGAATGCTCACATGCACTGACTACATTCTTTCTGATACCTACATACCACCATTGCCTCATTTTAATACACACAGCAGTCTTACTATCATCACTGAATAGTTGAAGAAATCAAGATCTAGGTTAAATAAGTTGTCCAGGATTACACAGCAGTAAGTGCTCTGCACAGAACTGGCATGTGACTGATCCTTTCCACGGCAGCATTTGCAGGTGCTCAGAGCACAGTGCTGGTGGGTAATCTTTCTTTGGCATTTTTATTTTCTTTCTGGTGTCTATTCAGACACTTTGAATAGTGTGCCTTTTCAGTGGCACCATGGAAGGGGAGCTTCCCTTTGCTGGCACTGGGCCGCCAACCCTCTCTCCTTCCCTTTCAGAGACTGTGTGTAAGACAGGTATGGTGCTGCTGTGTGGCGAGATCACTTCTCGGGCCATGGTGGACTACCAGCGCGTGGTGAGGGACACCATCAAGAACATCGGCTATGACGACTCCGCCAAGGGTGAGGGCGGGACCCACGTCTCAAATACACGTTGGTCTCTGCTAAGAAAGCCCCACAATGCTGAGTCAAACCCGAGGCTCTCAGTCTTCCTGGACCCATTTGTCAGGTTCCAGGGGTGCAGGCTCTGGCAAAAGGATGGCAAGCAGGTGACAGTGCCCTGTTGACGCAGCACATACCCACCCGTCATTAGCTGGGCTTGTTTAGGTCTTGCTTTCTTGGTGCCGGCAGAGGCTTTGGAAGAGAGAGAAGCACTGAACAAAGGGCACTGCCTTCTGCTGGGAACGTGTTCCCTGCCAGGCACAGGTGCTAGTCCCTTGGTGTGTGTTGTCCTAATCATTTCAGAAACTCTGAGACATTCCCTTTGCTGATGAGGAAATGGAGGCTTTAGAGAAGTCAACCATTTGTGTAAGGTAACATAATCAGTAAGTGGCTGCCAGGCTTGGGGCATCTGTGCTTTCTACTACCTTATGATACTTCCCATTATAGACACGGGAATAGACAGAGCTGGTGCTGACAGCAGGTGAAGGCGACAGGCTGGCCCAGGCCAGCACCAACATCAGGCAATATGGGGCCACCACCCAGGGAAGAGGCATAGGCCCTAGCAGGGGACTGAGGAGAGGCACTGCAATGAGCAGAAGCCAGCATCTAAGACTGGGCAGGCTGGGAACAGCATGGCCCAGAGGGGCATCAGAGGACATAGGATATGAGGGCCAGCTGCTGAGGGCCTACATGCAGTGATATTCCAGGACAGTTTCAGCCACCCTTTATCCACACTGGCTTCCTGGGTGGGTGGGGAGCTAACACCTAATTCTTAAAGGTTCTGTGTTGACTTCTAGTATTAAATATTCAAATAATTCCACATTAATATTATTTGTATTATTATTATTAGTAGTAGTAGTAGAGTGCTGTGGTATCATAGCTCACAGCAACCTCAAACTCTTGGGTTCAGGTGATCCTCTTGTCTCAAGCCTCCTAGCTGGGGCTACAGGCACCTGCCACAATGCGTGGCTAATATTTCTGTTTTTAGTAGAGATGGAGTCCCACTCTTTCTTAGACTGGTCTTGAACTCCTGAGCTCAAGCAATCCACCCACCTCAGCCTCCTAGATTGCTAGGATTATAGCTGTGAGTCACTGCACCTGGCCAACAATTCCAGTTTTTCAAGAAAAATTCCTTTGGGTCTCTGTTGGCTCTCTCCTAATTCCCTAAATTGCCATAAGCGAGGCAGTGGCCTGATGCAATTGCAAAAAGGACCACACTCAGATCAACCTTCCTGGACTTAAACCTATAACCCAAACACACAAACAGAAACACAGCTATTTGAAGGTACTCATTTTTGCCTGTGTCACTGGTTGGCTGTTTAGGGTGACATGGGGCATCCTTGTGCATCAGGATAGGAGAGATGCCCCACTTTTATAAGAGAGAGGATTCCTTCACCTCACAGCATGAGAGCATAGATACACACAGCCCAATCTGGCTACCACCTGATTGGCCCAAAGGAATCTCGAGCAATCAATGTCACTTGAGTGTATGAAAGTGGTTTTTTTTGTAGGGCTAGGGCTGGAAGAAACTGTGTGTCAAGAATCATGGGGAAGAGAAGCAGTGAGAGCCGGTTAATCCCTCCCATCAGGATGTGCAGGTTTTCACAGAGGGAAACACATCGTCCCAGGGTAGCAGCTTCTCGACATGTTTCCACATGGAGGCTTCCCCATTCTACTGGGAAAAGCCAGTTTGTTTATGTACATTTAGAACCTATTCAAGAGCAAACTTTGTTCTGCATTAGGTAGCAGGGAGATTTTCCAGGAGGTCATGTCCCCTAGACAGGGAGAGGTGAGTGAGAGCCGAGCCCTGGCTGAGAGCAGCTCAGTGGGCGAGTTTCCCATTGTACCTATGCCAGATGGACCATCAGGCGCCATGATGGCCTTAGGAAGACCTTGGACCAGCCACTGCTTACGGCTCTTAGCTGCAGAGTTGCTGAGCTCATTGCCCTTTCCAAGCCCTGCACCTCTCCTTGGTCTTCTAAGTTTTGTTTTTCCAAATCACTTGGAGCCCATGCTTGATTTTGAGCCCTAGGAAGATTCGTTATTTACATGGAAAGTGATAAGGTGAAATGTGGAATGTTTAACACAGAACAAGATAACCTTTTGGCAGTTCTCTAAAGACTGTTCATTGATTTGCAAATTCAAAAACATTCACTGAGGAGTAAGGAGGTGTAAAGGGCAAAGGTGACCTGATGCTCCTGGGGGCAGCGGAGGAACTATCTGGCCTCATATGATGCAATGTGAGCTGTCTGGGTGAGTCTGTGGCCTTGCATACAGTGAACCACAGAGGGTCCAAGGACACCCACTGCTAATGTAGGGTGGGGGAGCCAGAGAAAGAACATTCTAGGCAGACAGACCTAGTTAAGGTGGAAGAGTATCTTGTGCTTAAGGATAAACCCAAGTTTACATCAGCGAAAGGAGTTCAGGGGGCGAGGGCTGTGTCAAACTGGAGAGCTTCAGGGTTAGTAGTGGGCAGTGGATCCCCACCTGATGCTCATATGTCCATGAACAGTGGATTGGGTCTGCCTGAGCTTTCTCTGTAAGCCCAGTCTGGCAGTGTGCATAAGGGAATGGACTGGGAAGAGGATGGCAGTGGGGGCTTGGTACTGCACTTACCTTGTGGTGAGGGCATCTATGTATTCAGCCCCTCAATCTCACGGTCTCTGCAGCTGAGCTGGGAGGGCTGGGAGGGAGAATGTGGTCTTTGTGCACAGTGGCATTCTCGGGGGGCAGGTGGGGCCCCTGTTAGCCCAGACTTCTCTGAACCAGAACCCAGCATGCTGCGATCAGGGGGCAGCCCCCTACCTCCGTGCCTCAGCTTTGCAGGTGAAGTGGGGCAGGGAGCTTGGCCCCAGACATGTGGCTTTTCATTTTGCCTCACACCCTGTGCACATCTCACATCAGAGGGCCCTGCGGCTCTGGGATTTTCTCAGTATAGTTCACATGCACAGAATTTGTCCAGGATATCTAACACTTGAATTAGACACAGAGGTGGGCTTCTGGATGACAGTGTTGGGGAGCCCTTGATTTTAACTCAGTGTGTAGTAGTGATTTTCAAACTGGGTTCTGAGAGGTGCCTCAGGGACAGCCTAAGGGGCAAAGCTGTGAGTTATCCACCTGCTCTTCTGTTGGAGAAGCCCTGATGTCACTTCATTTCTAATGCCACAGTTCTATGTTAGATATATTTTTTAAACCAGGGTCTGAGTGAGTATAGTATAGTAAAAATGTACCATGGAGAACTTCCATTGACCAGGAGTCCCACATGATAGTGTGGGAAGGACATGGGCCTCCCCCATCCTGGGCCCCAGCTGCAGGCCTAGATAGATCCCAGTTAGTTAGAGACCACCTACTCTGACACCAGATGCCATGTCAGGAGCTGAGCTGTTCCCTGGGGAACTCACAACTCCACCTGTCTGACGTGTGTCCCCATATGGCCTTACTTTCCCTTCCACCTAGGCTTCGACTTCAAGACCTGCAATGTCCTGGTGGCTTTGGAGCAACAGTCCCTGGATATTGCCCAGGGTGTCCATCTGGACAGAAGAGAAGAGGATGTTGGTGCAGGAGACCAGGTAACACAGCACTGTGTGCAGGGACCATGACGGCACGTCCTTCCAGGGTGGTCTGGCTCAGACCTGGCTCTGAACTGTTGAGGAGTTAACTGGGGAGGTTTGTGAGATGGATTAATTGCACCATGGGGGTATAGCTCCTCATCCTGGTGTGAGAGCCTGGAATGAGTTGGACACCCCCACTTCACCTCCATGCTAAGGAAGGCTGTGGTCGCTAATGTCCAATTTGGGCTTGTCTCCCCCATGGAGAGTGTCCTCCTCCCTACAGCAAGTGCCCAGTGGAGGCACCTAATAAACACTGAGGCACCAGGGGAATTTTAGATTTGCAGAAAGCTGTTGTCCTGTTGGTCATGGACACAGGCTGCTCAGCCTCTTCTCTGCCCCACCACAGGGTTTGATGTTCGGCTATGCCACGGACGAGACGGAAGAGTGCATGCCCCTCACCATCATCCTCGCGCACAAACTCAATGCCCACATGGCGGAGCTGAGACGCTCTGGTGTCCTGCCCTGGCTGAGGCCCGACTCGAAGACTCAGGTGAACTGCAAAATTACCTTCTGGAGCTCTAGGCAAAACCTTTAAGCAATCCCAAGTTCTCTTACTTCTGTCATTTTTAAGATCAAAATGTTCAATTTGGGTCCTCAAGGAATTGTTACTTTTGAAAACAACTATTTACTTAAAAATTTTCAGCCCTGGGCTCAGTGCCTGTAGCACAGCGGCTAGGGTGCCAGCCATATACACTGGAGCTGGTGGGTTCAAATCCAGCCTGGGCCTGCCAAACAACAATGACAACTATAACCAAAAAATAGCTGGGTGTTGCGGCAGGTGCCTGTAGTCCCAGCTACTTGGGAGGCTGAGGCAAGAAAATCACCTAAGCCCAAGAGCTGGAGGTTACTATGAGCTGACATGCCACAGCACTCTATAAAGGGCTACATAAAAAATAATTATTTTTCAGCCCTGGATGCCCACCCCACATTTTATTATAAAAAATTACAGGAATACAGAAATGTTTGAAAGAACAATTCTAGTTTTTTTTTTTTTCTTTGTCTTGTTAGCATACATTGACATTGATGAGTCCCCAGATCCTGCCACAGACTTCTTAACCAGCTTCAGGCTTTTGGTCAGTGCCTTCCCTCCCACATTCCCAGAGGTCTGCGCCTAGAACGGACTGTCTCTGCTGTTTGTGTCTCACTGTGGCCCTTTTTCTTATCTTTGTTTCTCATAAAAAGGCTTTACCTTTGCTGTTTCCAGTTCCAACCCCATGGGCCCTGACCTCTCTGCCCCTTGCTGTGTTGAAACTGTCCCTCAGGTCTCTATTTGAAGATCCAGGGTGATGCAAGTGCTAGAGCAGGTGAAGGCCTCCTGCCCGCCCTCCCACGCCCTGGCTTAACCCTGATGGCCCTGTGCTTGTGGCTTCCTGCCTGGCTTCTCTTCATACTCCAGCATGACCACTAAGTCTCTTCGTGAATGAGTATGGCTCTCCCTCTAGCCACACTTGTGGACCCCATTGTCACCTTTGCACATGTAGCTACCAAATCTTCTATCTTGCTGGTCTAACTCAATAGCTCCATTTTTCAGTTACCCTGCAAACATGAGAGCCTGCTGGAGCCTCCTTCACTCAGCTGGAGAAGGCGCTGGAGTGCCACCTTCCCTAGTCCTGCTCAACACATCTTTCCACCCTACCTGGGCCCATGTCTGTCCTGTCAAGCAGTCTTCTTGCTCCAGCCCAGCTAGGCCAGAACTAGTGCCTCACCCTTCCAAAGGTTCTCCCTGCCTAGAAACTCCAGCTAACTCTCTTTAGGCTTTACTTTTTAATGTCCTAATGTCTGTTCAGTATTTTCAACAGCTTTCTGCTTCCTGCGAAGGGAGAGAAGTGAAATCCACTTGGTATTCTGATGTTCAAAGCCTTCTATGGGCTTCCAACTTTACTTTCTTCTGCCTTCTCTCCCCCCATGCTTGCTCAATTTACATCACTTCACTCATGTTCCCTTGTTTCTTAGTGCTTTGCTTCCTGGCTTCTGCCTTTCTCCTTACTTGGGCTCCTTCTCTGGTCCTCACCTGTCCCGAGTGACCAGCAGAGTTGTCACCAGCCCTTGGATGCTTCCGTGGTCCCCACCAGAGAGGGGTGTCCTGCACTCCTGTCCTCCTTTTGTCCTGCACTTGGAACTTGGCACATGCGGTTTGATACTCAGACTGGTGCATGTGGCTCCGCCCACTCCCCCAGTTGCACAGAGATGAGAACCTTCTTGCCCAGAGTCAGGCCATACACAGGGCACACCTGGGGCAGGGAGTGTGCTTGTGGCTTAAAGAGAACGCCAAGGCGGGAAGTGGGGCCATCAGTCTTCCTTAGGTGTTGTCTGAGGTTGTACAGAGGAGAGCTGAATATGTGGGTTGTCATGCTCTCTGAATGGGAACAGTGTTGGGATGAAAAACGGGGAGATTCACAGAAAAGGAAATCTTAGAACAGGGGTGTGAGGGAGTCATGGGGCTGGCTGATTGGAAATAAGAAATGGACGTGCCCCTTGTCAGGCCGCCTGGAATAGGAAAGACCTTCTTCCCTCTCCTGAGATATGAAATAGCAGGGTTCCCAGTCAGGGAGGCAGTGAGAGAGGAAAGGGTGGGTGGTTCTCTTAGGGTCCCTTCCTGGGAGGATTGTCTTAAACATGGCAGCATGGACATCAAAGTCGGCCCCACTCTCCTGCCACGGGAAGGCTGTGATTCAGCTCTAGCCGGAGAGGATGTAGGTTTGTGGACAGAGCTGGTGGCTGGTGTGGTCCCCTGTGTCCTCCCAGAAGCCTGGCTAGCTCCACACACCCCCTCAGTGAGGGGCCCTGGGCCAGCACGGAGTCTTGGTCTTCTCTCCACCCTGTTTGTAAAGGATTTTCACCATCTCACCCGAGTGTTGACTGTGAACAGGATGAGTCTTTCCACCTGAACAAATCCTTGCTGCTGATACTGAGAATCGGCTGGCAGTACGGGTGGCTATTTTTGTACCCGGTCAGAGTTGTGTTTTCCATGCTGTGTTTTTCCCCACATCTTGCTGACACAATGAGATAAGAGCGGTGCTTGGAGCCCTTTGCTCCACCAGCCTGTTCTGTGGTCCTACAAGGCCACTGTGTGGGGTTTGTCAGAGAGGATAGGCCTGCACAGCCCCGGTGGGTGTGAGCCTTCTCACATGTGGCTGGCCTGGGGGCCTTCCTTCCTGGGGACCCCCTACCCTCTGACCTCAGCTTCCACTTTCAGGGCCTGTTTGTGCACACTCTTAGCTCCCTGTGTCACCAGGTCGGGCATCACACAGCCAGGGCTCTTTCCCTTGCTTCTTCTGGACCCCACCTTGTTGCTCTTTGGACAAGGCAGAGCACAGGGTGTGAATTTAATACAGATCCAGTGTTTGACAGATATCTGAGGGGCCCTGGGCAGGCAGAGACCATGCTGCAGGCATAGTCTGGGGTGTACTATTTGCTGCCCTGGGGTTCTGTCCAGGGCCTGGGGTGGGGAGTGGTCCTGTGCCCACTGGCCAGCGTTCCCACCACCACCACCACCTCTGCAGGTACCATATATCCCCCAAACCCTCTGGGCTCTGCTCTCAGGGGTCCCACTAACTTTGGCAGTATCGGGCCTGTGGTCAGCACATCCTTCAGAGTCTAGGTCTGGCTCTTCTTGCTGTGTGAACTTGACCAAGGTGTTTAAGTTCTCATCTGTAAGGTGGGAATGGCAACAGCCTCTAGCATACGGGGTGTGCCTAACTGATGCTGATTCTTCTCCCATTTTCACCTCCAGGCCTCACCACCTCCATCCCTCTTACTCTGCAAACCGAGGACATGTCAGTGAAGGAGGACAGGGTCTATGGAGAAAAACAGGGTCATCTGTGTAATGAGAGGGACACAGACCCTTGGGTTGGCTTTTCACTAACTGGCTATGTGATTTCAGACAAGTTGTTTCACAGCTTTGCTTTTCTCCTTTGTGAGGTGGCGGTAATCGTGCCTCCATCGCTGTGACATCTTACATATTGACAATGCACAGAATGGTGGCAAACGTGATTGTTAGCTTTGTGCATGTGGCCTGATCTGCTAGGGTGTCGCGGGCAGGCTCCTGCCCTCAGGTGCACTCTCCTCTTCCTTCCTTACAGAAAAACACCCAGAGGCTGATGGTCCAGAGCTTATTGCTCTAACTCAGCCCCCCGAGCTGAGGTCCCTCTCACCCTGTCCCTATGTCAGACAAAGCTGCTGGCAAATACTTTCCCAGAGTTCATCCCTCTCCCAAGATGTTGGAGCCATCTCTAGGCTCCTTACCTTCTATCTCAGAGGCTTCCGGGTGCCAACAAACATCCCCCTGGCCAGAGCCCAGTCTTAACCTCCATGGGCCAACACGAAGGCATCCCTGCACCTGCCAAAGACGTGTGGCTCAGATTCCTATGGGAAGAGCCTAGAGTGTCCTAAGTCAAGAGGAAACTCAAGTCTCCAAGCAGTGTAAAGGATTTTCACCATCTCACCATGGTCCAGTGTGGGAATGGCTGCTCCATATTCCCTGTCTTCCCACAGCACTGGGCAGTTTTTTCAGATGTGAGAATGTATCAGATTAACTTGCCAAAGGCCTGAGGACAGGAGGCCCCCGGGTTTCCTGGGAGCCCTGCCTGCCTCCTGGGTGTCTGTGCCTGGCCAGGGTATGCCCTCTGCTCAGCCTCAGCCACTCAGTGTTGCCCATGCATTCTGATGGACAGGTGACGGTGCAGTACATGCAGGACAATGGCGCGGTCATCCCCGTGCGCATCCACACCATCGTCATCTCGGTGCAGCACAACGAAGACATCCCGCTGGAGGAGATGCGCACGGCCCTGAAGGAGCAGGTGATCCGGGCCGTGGTGCCGGCCAAGTACCTGGATAAAGACACCATCTACCATCTGCAGCCCAGTGGGCGCTTTGTCATTGGCGGTCCCCAGGTGAGCCCTTGTCTCTGAACGAAGCCCTGATTTGTCCTTATTAGTAGGGCTGCTCGTCTCGGAACACAGAGACCACAGAGACAGCTTTGAGTGGCTCAGTAGGTCTGGCCATGGACTAAATGTGAGGTCTCTGAATTCTGGCCTCCACACATTTAGTGCACTCTCTGTGTGGGCCTGCACTGTATCTGCCAGTCCATGAGGAATGGGGGCCTTGTCCCTAGGACTCTCCCACTCGGCACTACCTGGCCCTCCGGCTCCAGCCTCCCACTCTGCAGCTGCACTGCTTTACCCCGCCCAGGTGCTTGCTCACCACTGCTGTGTGTGCTTATGGCTGACTGTTTCCAGGACTAAGTTACGTGGGACTGCTCAGGTCAGCTGAAAGGGGAGCTGCCTGTGGCCCTGTGGGCTCCCAGTGGGGCAGGGTGTTTTAGGTGGGGTCACCTGTTGCTCCTCCCTCTTGTGGTCCAGGTGTTAGGAGGTGAAGATTGGCAGAGCACCCCCGAAGGGCTGCAGCCCAGCTCTCAGGGACCTCAGCTACAGACACGCCAACGTGAAGTTGAGCCCCATCCTTGGGTTTTACAAGCACTTCTAGTGTAGAAACAAAGGGTAGAAGGGAAAGCCTCCTATTTTTTCTTGCAGAACTTCTGAAAGCCCAGACTTACTGGTATGAACTGTGGATTTCTAAAAGGAGGGATAGAGGCTTGGTGGCTCACGCCTATAATTCTAGTACTCTTGAAGGCTGAGGCCAGTGGATCACTTGAGCTCAGGAGTTCAAGACCAGCCTGAGCAAGAGTGAGACCCTGTCTCTACAGAAAATAGAAAAACTAGCCAGGCATTGTGAAGGGTGCCTGTAGTCCCAGCTACTTGGGAGGTTGAGGCAAGGAGATTGCTTAAGCCCATGAGTTTGAGGTTACTATGAGCTATAATGCCATGGCACTCTACCCTGGTGACAGAGTGAGTCTGTCTCAATAAATGAATGAATGAATGAGTGAATAGAGGGATAGAGTATACAGGCTGCCCCTAACTCATTTCACATAGAGTCCCTGCCATTTTAAAGATATTACTGTTGGCTGATGTTGCACAGAGCACACTTGGGAAATGGGCTGCAAAGCGTTTGCTGGGGACACCAGCCACAGCCACCGACCAGGGCTGCATTTATCTCTCCTGCCTGCAGTTGGTCTCTCCATTATGATGGACTAAACCACAAAGGCATCAGCAACAGCTGTGACCCCACAGCTTTCTAATGAAGCTTTGACAGGTTACCTGACTTCTATATCTGGTCAATGTCTGAAGTGGGATCGGAGCCCAGGGTTCCCAGATGACTCCCAGCTAAGGGGTCTTTGGAAAATGCCTGTGCAGCCTCAGAGCATCCTTCCTGGGCTGCAGCCCCCTCCAGCCATGCGAGGGCTCTGCTTCTCATCTGCTCTTTATCTCTTTCCCTTTGCAGGGGGATGCAGGTGTCACTGGTCGTAAGATTATCGTGGACACCTATGGTGGCTGGGGGGCTCATGGTGGTGGAGCCTTCTCTGGGAAGGACTACACCAAGGTGGACCGCTCTGCAGCGTACGCTGCCCGCTGGGTGGCCAAATCCCTGGTGAAAGCAGGGCTGTGCCGGAGAGTGCTTGTCCAGGTAGGCCCCTCACCTCTGACCCCACCTTCCTGTCCCAGCTGCAGAGATCTTGGCCTGGTGGGAGAGTCACGTGCTTTGCCGAAGTTCATGACTCCGGGATTGCACTGAGCTCTGTAGCACTCTGAAAACAAGGGAAGGAAAACAGAAATCTCCAGGGAGAGGGGCATCAGCAAGAACTGTCCTCTGGACAGCAAGGGTTTCTAGGCAGACAAATTGAGGGCAAGCGTGCTGGGAAAGAGACGAGTGGTCCCTGCTGCCCCTTCCTGAGGATAGCAAGGCCCCCGTGAGGGACAGACCCTGCACAGTGGCTTCAGGCCCTGACTCTGCCCTTTTCTGGAAGGTGTCCTACGCCATCGGTGTGGCAGAGCCACTGTCCATTTCCATCTTCACCTACGGAACCTCTCAGAAGACAGAGCGAGAGCTGCTGGATGTGGTGAATAAGAACTTCGACCTTCGGCCAGGCGTCATTGTCAGGTAACAGCACCTCCAAGCTGCTGTTATGTGGCTCCTGCTCCCTCCCTAGATGCTCAGATCAGCTGAAAGGGGAACGGAAAGAAGGATGTGTCAGCCTCTCAGAATGAGAGGGGTCTCTAAGCTTTTGGCCCAGCGCAGGGCCCACCGCTGTGCAGGACATCTGCTTTTCAGGCTAAAGGAGTCTGAACAAGATTCCGGTTGGCCCAGCACACACTGATGGCAGTGGGGCCGTCTCTGAGCAGCTGGGGGTGTTTGTGTTGGGGGTACAGATCTTAGGAAGATAGTGAGGTGACCAAATGGCTGGGAGTTGGGCTGGCAAGCCTATTCCCACACGCTTGTCTCTTGTGCCATCCCTGTTCTCTGGAGCTTGGCAATATGGACATTGGTCTGGGCTAGGTCAGTGGAGTAGGGAGGAAAAAGGCACCAGAGGGCTGGAGTTCCAGTCCTGGCCCCTGATCTCTGAGCTTCTGTTTCCTAAGATAGAAAACAAGACTCTGGTGTGGTACAAATCGGGTGTATGTATGTGAGATCCACAGGAGAAGTGCCCTGAGATCCAGAGGGAGAAACTCTGCTTCTGTTCCATTAAAAAATGACCTTTTCTTCTGCTGGACATGCAGGGATTTGGATCTAAAGAAGCCCATCTACCAGAAGACAGCATGCTATGGCCATTTTGGAAGAAGCGAGTTCCCATGGGAGATCCCCAAGAAGCTTGTGTTTTAGGGCTGGTGGGAGCTGGGCCTGGCCCCATCCCACAGGCAACTGGTGTACTGCATTCCGCTTCCCCAGGATCCCAAAGCTCAAATCTCCCAGAGCCCTGACTGCTGACTGCTCTCCCCGCCCACCACCCCTAGGGCAAAGCCAGGCCCCTCTAATTTAGTCCTGTCCTGCCATCACCATGAATGGCCAGAGGCAGATGGCTTCCTGGTGCTGAGGGGCAGAGCTCCATGTGAGGGTCTTCACGATGTTTCCCTGCCTTTCCCTCAGACCAAGGCAATGTTGATTTTGTGGGAAAAGCACCCCTGTCCAGATGAATCCCCTCACTCACTTCCCTGTGCAGCCTGGACCCTGACCAGCTCCTCCTCCCTGCACCCTCCATGTGTGCCAAGGTGAGCTCAGCGCATCTCACAGACCTCAGGGTTCCCTGTGGGCTTGGGCCACTGGGACTCCTTTACACAGCTGTGGCCAGTACCCCTGAGCTGGGGGCTCAGAAGGCCCCTCCCAGGCCGGGCCTCGGTAGGGGTAAGAATGGGGGCTGATGTCTCCTAAGTGTCTACAACATGTGATGGACCCAGCCAACCACTGAGCTCACTTTTTCTTCACTGCAACATGATAATGCAGCATCTTTTTATCACCCTGTTTATAAATGGGGAAACCAAGGCACAGAGAATTTATATAACTTTCAGCGGTCCCAGAGCCACATGTGTCAGAGCCTAGATGTAAAGTGAGAAGCTTTATCTCAGTTTGTATTACCCCTGTGTCTTGCCAGGCACCGATCTAAGCAATGACTCAGCACTTTGCAGCCAGGCCATGGACTCTGCCCTGAAGGCCTCGGGTTACTGGGAATTAATGGATTAACCCATTGGCTCCTCTTGAGCCCTAGACAATGGTCCACAAAGGCAAGAATGACCTGAAGGACTATTTAATTTACCTCATTTGTTCCAGAATATGGCTCAGGGTTAGCTGGATCCCCTGGCCCATCAGGCTGGGTTGGTGTCTGGAATTGAGAGGCAGCCCTATAATCCCAGTCATGTGACCACTCAGACACTCGGGGCTTGGGATTTAGGGCCTCTTGTGTAAGTGGTCTAAGTCTAGTCCAGTCCCACGCGGGCTTCCTGGGGTAGAAGCAGCAACTTGTCCTAGCATAGGTGGCTGAAATCTTTCTCTGCCTTTGCCCCCTTGTGTGGACTTCAGATTCAATGCTGTGGAATAAGGGGGGAGGCAGGGAGGGGACCCTCAGATGCCCCTTCCAGAGAGTCCAGCTCTAAGGCCCCTATGCTAATGTTAAGTAGGCTGGCTCATGATGGACAAGTTGCCTGAGATACCATGAGGAAACTCTGCCTTTGCCAGGTGGCTTTCTGGGGACAGGTCTGTTCCTGAAGGTCCTGAGTGGCCCTTGGTCTGCCAAGGTTGTGGAAGATGCATACTGCCCTGTCTTTCCATCCATGGCCCCCACCACTCACCCCACCGTGTCCTCAGCCTAGGCCTTAAACAGCAGCATCTTTACCTTCTCTCAAGCTCCAGGGGCCACAGGCTCAGGTTGTGGCCTCCATGGCCCCAGGAGAACAGGGGGCCTTGGCTTCTTTCCAGGACACACAGTGCTGGTTCTGGCTTGGAGAGGTGGTCCAGAAAGTCCCCTGTGGCGGGCAGGCAGCCTGTAACTGGGCCTTGGCCTGCAGCACAAAGACCTTGGCTTTCCCTTTGCCTCAGGGGAAAGGAAACTCTTCAGGGTAGATGACAACCTTAGGGCCTGTTTAGGATGCTAACGCTCTGGTCCTCTGCATGCCACGTGGTTACCCAGGAAGCCTTATGATCCTTCCTGCAGAGGGAGGGACAAGTTTGCAGGTGGCTGAGTTCCTCCAACTTGGACAATATCTGAAGTGAAAACACAGGAGTCGATACTTTCCCTACCCGTGAGACTCTAGAGATATGAGGTCTTTTTTTTAATCAACATTGTTTATATGAAAATAAAGCTTTTATTTGTTAATAGTCCTTGCTAGAGCAGTGAATAAAAACTCAAGGAGCAACTACCCCTATGCTGAGTTTTTGTCTTCACAATCCCAGAGACACTCCCCCTGTGTAGCATTACCTGACCCCTCCCCAGCAGGGTTGGTGTCCTCCCTTCCATTGTCAGCCAGCCTGGGGCCCTCCATTCCTGTCCACGCAGAGCATATACCTCAGGGGCTCATCCTCCAGCTGCCATGTTAGTCATGTCACGGCTGTATTCACTCCTCACCGTGTCCCACTGAGGTAGATGTTCTCAGGAACACACTTTACATGTGGGGACACTGAGGCCTTGAGAAGGTTAAGAGTGTGACCAAAGGCACCTGGCTGGTGGCTCCTCAGGCTTTGGTGCGTGCTCTCTTGGTCACAGGCACAGCTGCCCTTAGACCTTGCCTGGGCCCCATGCTCCTGCACCCCCTGCAGAGTGTCTGGTGGGGCTGTTAAAGGGTGGCTACTCAGGTAGCAATGTCAGATGGTGGGATAAGGGGCTGGACTGTGGAATGAGTGAGGGGCTTGGTTTGCAGAGTGAGGTAAACCTTAACATGGGTGCACATTTCTCATTCACACGCCTGCAATTGTGAGGGGACTACATGGGTGATAGGAGATCGTCCCTGCAGTAGCCCCTGAGGATGCAATCCTGGAGGCTTCGTCAGAGCAGGTGGACCCACCTACTTCCAACAAGCAGGCCATGTGGTCAGGATTCAGCTTTGGGGAATGTCCTGGGGTGTGCGGAGGAGAAGTCATGCAGCCCCTCTTTCTCAGCTGAGGAGGCTGGTTTGGGAGGCCTGGAAGGCAGAAGTGAGCCAAGACCTGGGAAGTTCAGGGGACGATCTTCAGGCACTCCCACAGAAAGGCTCTGGAACACTGGGGCTGGCTGGAAGGTGACGCCTCCTTCACAAGCTGAGGCTACAGATGCTAAGACAACCGCAGCAGGCCTAAGAAGACAGGAATTTCCCTTTCACAGAGGCTGTTATCCTCACTAAGTGACAAAGGGGAAACTGAGGCTCAGGCAGGTGAGGGCACTTCTGAAGACCACCCACTCAGTAAAGAGCACACCCAGTCTTGGGGTAGGATGGGAACCAAGGGTGTGAGCCAGTGATCCAGCTGGCTCTCCCTCCATTCCACTGGGAGGGCACACACCTCCCCATCGCGACCAAACACACACATACTGGGCCAGGGCTCTGCTGCTCAATGGGACTGTGCCCAGGGGTGTGAGGTCTTAGGACCCAGCTTCTCCTTTAGTTCTGAGCTGTGAGAGTTCTCCAACAGGAGGGGCAGCCCCGCACCCTGCAGCTTCCTAGAGGCCCTTCTGAGAAGAGCGGGGATCACCCCCTTGCCTTTTCTGGCTCCCTCATCAGCCTCTGGCACTGCCCTCCACCTCTGGGGCCTCTGCCTTTCCATCCAGGCCATCCTACCATGGTATCCATGTCCCTCCTTTTCTTGACAGGAGGTGGGGTGGGGTGGAGGCCTTTTGATGTGAGTAGGTGATCTAAAGTTTGTTCTGTTTTCAACCCTGGAGGCCCACAGCAACCTCCAGAGGCTGACACCTCAGCTGACCTTGCCCCCACCTTACTTTCCTCTGTCTTTCATTTTCTATTTGTTCTCATGTTCTGTCATATATTTCTGCCTCACTCTTGGAAAAAAAAAAAATAAAGAGAAAAAGAAACACCTTGTAATTAGCTCTTGAATTTTTTTTATATCAAAGCTTTTGGGGTTTCTAAGACATGTTTTTTAGATAAAAAAATGGCATTTATTCAGAGGCATTCAGAATGTCAACAAAACAGCTGCAACTTTTTTTTTTTTGCAATTACAGAGTGGTATTCAGTTAACAGAACAATAATTATTTCATATAAGCTGCATCAGAGACAACTGAAGATGAAAACACTACCATCCCCATATATAACTAATTTGTGCTGTGCACCAACAAGAACCTGCTTTAAATTTCCATGCCAATTTACAACCCTCAGACTGTACCAGGCAAGGCTGTTGAAAATACCACCAGGACGGGGCTATCGAAAGACACATTTGGTAGTGTGTTAACTATACAAAAAAAGACACTGTACAGTTTAAAAACAAATCTTACATAGCCTTACATTTCAATCTTTTTCTTTAAAAGGAGTGAGTTGTGTACATGGGGGGTTTAAATGCTTTACAGACAAGAAAAAAAACTACGCGAGAACCAACTTACTATCATCTTCATCATCTTCCTCCTCCTCGCCACCCTCTTCATCTTCCTCCTCTTCCTTCTTTTTCTTGCTTTTTTCAGCCTTGATGACTCCCTTTTTCGCTGCATCAGGCTTCCCTTTAGCTCGGTCTGCAGCAATATCCTTTTCGTATTTTTCCTTCAGCTTTGCAGCCTTCTTTTCCTCAGGCTGCTTGTCACCCCCAGCAGTGTTACTCCACATCTCTCCCAGCTTCTTTGCAACATCACCGATGGAAAGGCCGGGATGTTCTCCTTTGATTTTTGGACGATACTCAGAACAGAACAAGAAAAAGGCAGAAGGAGGCCTCTTGGGTGCATTGGGATCTTGAACTTCTTTTTTGTTTCCCCTTTAGGAGGGATATAGGTTTTCATTTCTCTCTCATAACGGGCCTTGTCTGCCTTTGCCATATCTTCAAATTTTCCTTGCTCTTTAGCAGACATGGTCTTCCACCTCTCTGAGCACTTCTTAAAAAACTCTGAGAAGTTGACTGAAGCATCTGGGTGCTTCTTCTTGTGCTCCTCCCGACAAGTTTGCGTGAAGAATGCATACGACGACATTCTGCCTCTCAGCTTCTTAGGATCTCCTTTGCCCATGCTTAGTTATTTTTCCTCAGTGAGGCACAGAGTCGCCTATTGCCTGTCCAACTCTCACTTGCCCCGGCACTGTCTCTATGGAACTCAAGGTACTACAATGGCTGAGCCATTTTAATTTATTTCAATATTATTTCTATTTTTCTGCTTAACTTTCCAGCTTTCTGAGCTGCATCTTGGTTTTAGTGGCTTCTTGATCCAAAATGACTAGCAGAGGAGTTCCAAAACTTCCATGTAGTTGTTTTTTATTCAATTTTCACTGGTTTCCAAGTTACAGGTTATTATAGAAAATAATCTCCATTACTTGGGTGGTGCCTGTGGCTCAGTGAGTAGGGTGCCGGCCCCATATACCGAGGTTGGTGGGTTTAAATTCTGCCCTGGCCAAACTGCAACAAAAAATAGCCTGGCATTGTGGCAGGTGCCTGTAGTCCCAGCTACTAGGGAGGCTGAGGCAAGAGAATCGCCTAAGCCCAAGGGCTGGAGCTTGTTGTGAGCTGTGACATCACAGCACTCTACTGATAGTGACATAGTGAGTCTCTGTCTCAAAAAAATAAATAAGTTAATAAAATAAAATAATCTCCATTACTTGCACTTTTAAAAAAATTTCAGATTTTCATTATAGTCCAAAATGATGAATTTTAATAAATGTTATGTGGTCTACTGATGCTATCGGGGTGCAGAATTGCACTGATTGCAGATTTTTAAACAATTTAAAAGTATGTCATATATACATTTGTATTTTAATTACGTATTTCAGATACATATTTGTGGACAGGGATGCTAAGCTTTCCTTAGGGATGCAACTGACAGGAGAGGAGAACATGAAGTGGGAATTCTGAGGAACGGTCAGTGATGGCTTTGTGTCGCCTTCACTCATTCTGTCATTTACTCAGACTTCTCTCCTTCCGAGAGCATTGGCAGAGCGCTGACACCCTGCCCTGGGCTCTGGGGACCTCCGTGAGGCACCTAGTGGTACCACGTGGATATGTGTCTGCCTCCTGGGGAGCGAGAAGAAGGCTTTCCAGGTCAGGACAATTGTGTGCTCAGGATGGGGAGGGCCCTCTGGGACCACAGGAAGAGCCAGCTCAGTAGAGGGCAGGATGAGTGTGAGAGGGGATCACTGCTGTCTGTCCCTCACTCCTCTCCAGTGGTGGTCTTTCTTGGTTGCCAGGTGCAGGTTTAGCACAGGGCAGAACCGAGTCCGTGATCTCAGAGTTTGGCCACAGGGGGGCGTTGCAGACAGGAAAACTAGGTGGGGGCTTCACCCTGCCTGGAGCTGGCAAATCCGTTATTATCTGTTTGTATTTGTTTTTACTTTTTTTTAAATCCATTTTTATATGTATTTTACTTTTACTCATATTACCCCTCAATATATTAGAAAAATTTAGTAAATAGAAGTTATTTAAATTGTTCTTATAATTTCTAGGAAGCATAAAGAGTTAATTTTATTTCGATAACACTCTTCACTATTTCCTAAACTATGCTATATCTGGGAGCAGAGACATTTGAAATATCAGAACACTGCTCTGCTGATGCTTCTATGTTATTTGGTGATAAAAGAATGGGGGGAGTTATTTGTTAGTCTCCATAAATGTAATAGAATGGATTGATGGTGTTGACTTCATTTAGAGGCGATTGCTCCTGGTCTGGGCCCAGTAGGGCTCGCTGTAGCTGTCAGGGTCCTGCCGAGGCTGGACTGAGCTCAGCTGCTCAGGGTGTCAGGTCTACAGAGGCTGGGTTTCTTCAGTCCTGCCCCACCCTAATTAGGGTACCTGTGCCCCTAGGGCTCGCAGACTCTTCATCTGAGGTGAAGAGCCTGCCCCTCTGTCACTACAATAAGTACAACTCATATTCTGAGGGCCTTGGGCAGCCTGTGCCAAGCTCTGGGGTACCTGCAGCCTAGAGATGAGAAGTCCAGGTGTAAGGGGTGCTGTGCCTAGCTCATCCTGAGACAGAATGAAGCATGTCCAGGGCTGGGTGTGCAAAGAACAGGGCTGTAGCCCCAGGGTGATACAGTGAGCTGTCCTGGGCCCCGCGGCCTTTCTAGGTTCACTTTGCAGAGTGACAGGCCAGGCTGGATCTGAGCAGAGCCTGATTCATGACTGTGGCCACTGTGGGCAGAGCATACACTGGGGTCTTCAGGAAAACCTGAATGGAGGAAGATGGACCCCACTTGCAGTGAACCTAAAAGGGATGTGGCAGACATATAGGGTATAGTTTGTGCCTAGCACC